GTGCACAGGTGGGTGGGTGGCAGAGAGGGCAAGGCTGCATCTGTCTTCTCAGCCTCACCCTGCGTAGCCTGTGCTTCTCGGCTGGCTGGGTGCCAGAGGTGGCAGTGACCAATTGGCTGCAGCAGCCACACCTCAGCCTCTCCCGCAGTGAGGACAGCCTGGGGGAGCTGGGCTTCGAATGATGGGTGAAAGTGGAGGTGGATCTTTGTCCGGGGTACAAGCCATGGGCTTGGGTTCGTGTACAGCGCTTCCACTCACGGGGCTGCCAGCTTCGTGGGGTGAAGAGAAAGATGATTGTTTTTTAAATGCGGGTGTCTGATTATATGAATGTTGCTGCTTAAGTGTAGATTAACTGGCTTGAGTTTAATTTTTATCTTATAAATTCCATCGTGTTCGGTTGCCAGACAGGACCTAGAATTCTTGAATGGTGAATTTCAGACTTGCATGTGGGAGTAACATCAGCACCTTTCAGTACAGAAGCTGAGAATTAGTCTGGCTCAAAGTCTTCCTTCCCCTGCTTTAAGGTTGACCTCTGCCCGCCCGTGGAGACAATGGAGTCTATGGTTGCCCATTAGCCAGCTGCTGCTTCTTACTAAAATTCCTTTATGATCTGTACTGAGTACATAGATATGAAAAATAAATTGTTTTCTGTGTGCATCTTCCTTTGAAATCTTTTCATAAGTACATCTTTAGCTGCTTCTGTGAAATAAGCACCAGCCTTTATCCGCTACCCACAGGCGGAGATTTGGCCAGCCGGTCATCACCAGCCATGGGAGAACTAAAGTGGGCGATGGCCAGAGCCAGGGTTGGGTTGGGGGATGCTGCCCAGAAAACTGGGGTTAGGATCCTGAGCAGGAGTTCATGCAGAGGCCAGGGAGTCACCTTGCCACTGCTGTGGCTGTGCTGTGCGTCTGCCCTCCCAGCTGCTGCGGGCTCTCGTCCTTAAGGGGCTGGTGCCATCAAGTGTACTGACCGCAGGTGTAAGTCCCTTGGGGCTGAGGTGGTTTCAGAGGTTTGGGATACAGTGGAAGTTGGTGCAGAGGGTGGAGACCACAGACCCTCTGACTGTGCGTATCCCTTAGGAAGGGGTGGCACAGGACCTCACGGGCACCCCCTGTTCCTCATTGCTGGGGGGGGATCAGCTTCACCATGCAGTGTGTTGCAGTAAGTGGGGTCATAAACTCACTCTTCTAAAAGAGACATGTTTCTGTTTTCATTAATCTTGGAGCTGACTCAGGGAAATCACCGGTTCTCTTTCCTTACCATAGCCAGAGAGGTAGAGAGGTGGAGAGGTTTTATCCTTCAGTCTGGAAAACGTACCCCCTTCTGGTTTGAACAGCAGCCATCTCTGCAACTCTGGAATAAAAGGACTTTGCACAGATTTTTTTGTCAGCTGTCATCTTGAGGGAAAAGCTGTGGAGCTGTGGGTTCCAGGAGCTGCCTGAAATAGCCACGATGTGATCACAGGGCTGGATACCTCCCCATGAGGCTTGAAAACACATCCCCTTTGGGGTTGAATCCAGTACCAAGCATCCCTGGTGTGGAGCAGGTGAGGTTTCCTGACCTACACAGCACTGCTCACTTTAAAAGTCATACAGTAAAAATCTCAACATGAAAACAGGTTGAGGGGAGAGAGTAATAGATCACTTGTTTGTTCTTTGCAGTCTTTAACCATAGTCGTTTCTTGTACATTTGGAAATGGTCACTGTTTTGTTTTGTTTTTGCCTGCAAGCTTGCTCTACAGTACAGACTGTGTAAAGTGCAGGGTGGCGTCCGATGGGCAGTGACTACCTCCTCGCACACGGAGGCAGCAGCCGATCTGTGACACACCTCTCCTTTGGGGGCGCCGAGGTTATTATGCACCGGTAACCCCTCGGCCTCTAGGGGGCAGCAGAACACAACGAAGACCTGGGCCGGGGCCTAGGGCTCTGCTGCTCTTGGCCCACCCTCTCCAGTGTCCTGGATGCTGCACACAACCTTTTCCTCTCTGCCAGACAGCTGTCTGACTGGCCTCGCCACAGTGGGGACCTGTGCCAGCAAGCCTCCGCCCATTCCCGTCTCCCCGTCTAACACCTTCTGGTCTCACTGTACCATGTCCGGAACAGGTACACCGTCCTCAGGGCAGGAGCCCGATGCCAGTGTGCCCAGCAGGCCGGGATGCTGGATAGCAGTAGGAGGCTCCCTTAGGAGATCGAGTATGCTTGATGCCTGCTTGCTAATTTGACTATCAAGAAAGTGCTGTCTTGTACAAAAAGTATTGTCTTTGGTCTGCTTATTTTTGAAATGACTACGTTCTCACATGCCCTCAGGTTATTTCTGGTGGGCAAGAAGGAGAGAGAGCTTCCATAACTACCTATGGGTGTGATAGGAAGAGTTAATTTTGGTGCCGCAGATGCAGACCTGTGTGTTGGTCCTTTCCTTTCCCAGCTATGTATCTTGAACAAATTAACTTCTTGGCCTCAGTTTTCTTACCTGTAAAATAGTTACTTAAGCCAGTTTTTCCCATTTATGACCCAAACCAGAATACGTATATTTGAGAGTGAAGACCATTAAAGAAAAGCCAGAGGTAGAAAGTAGTTGAAGTGCTAAAAGCAAACTTCATGCAGAAAGTATTGTCACCGGGGGAGGAGAAAGCTCAGTATGACACCGGGCTCAGTTCTGAATTCAGCATGGTGGCGTGGAATATAGCCAGAGAGCAGGGTAGGGAGCATCATTGGATGGAGAATTACTAAGAGGAGGGCCAAGGGTTTAGCTCAGTGGCACCATGCCTGCCTCACAAGCACAAGGCCCTGCATTATATCCTGGTGCAAAAAAAAAAAAAAAAAAAAAAAAAAAAAAAAAAAAAATTACTTTCCTGA